AAATAATTATTTTATTTAACTTTCTTCGTTGTCATTATTTTATTTTTTATTGTATTGAAGTTGACCAGAGAATGACAGAGAGAGAGAAGGAAAGTGAGAAAACAAGCTACCAGGCCCAGGAGTTGAACTATGGTCAGCCATGTAGTCCAGGCATCTTTACCACCATGCCACCTGCTGGCCCTGACTTTTGCAGAGAGACAGAGACAGAAAGCAATAAATCACTCACCCTCCTGGGGGTGTGGCCGGGAACGTGTGCACACACACCTGGTGTGGGTTTTAAGCCACTGGGACTTGAACCATGGTTTACCAAGTGGGAGTCCAGTGATGTAACCATCATGTCATCTGCTGGTCCCTAAGTTCTGTTTTTGTTTGTTTTTAAATTAAACATCATCATGCTAGGTCTTATGTGAGAAGATGGTCTTTGTCTTCAGGGACTTACAGTCCCCAGATTCCGATCATGAATTTGGAGGGTTGATTGAGTTGTCCTGATCGCATTTTCTCGTGTACTTCCAATTCTGAGGTTTTGGATGTACTAGCCCTGTGAAGGCTTAAAACAGGATTGCGTAAGTGGTGATGATTTTATTCTGTATATAATATGTAGCCCTGTCCTGCCATGTGGTTTTTAGAAAAAGGAGTGGTATTTGGATCCCCACTGACGGAGGAAGGCATTGCCCAGATATACCAGCTGATCGAATATCTACACAAAAGTAAGACTGCTTGAAATTTTAACGTTCTTTGCTTAAGGAAGAATCGTCAGTTTTCTTTTGAGAGCTAACTGCCTTGCGTTTAGTACCTATGAATTAATCATCAGCAAAGGAACCTAACCAGTGATAATTCTAGGGGGAATTACTATGTTTTAAAATATATTTCCTTTACACTATCTTATGTATCAATTTGCTTTAATAGCTCAAAGATGTATATAAATTAGGTAAGGTCTATGAAGTCACATTTTCCCTCAACTCAGAGACACATTTCTTCTGGAAAAACATAAGTAACGTTATCCTTAAAGAATTGTGATATTTATTAAGGGCACATGATTCTTTTTACCTCCACAAATTCTCTGATTAAAATACACTCTTCACTTAATTCCCATTTCATATCTGAGCAGTCACGCTGGCTATGCCGTCGCTCTCAGGGCTTGGCAGGCTGAGTGTATGTGAAATGTGTGGTCCGTGTGATGCCGTGATCAGTACAAACCTTCCTTGGTGACACCAACCCAAATACCAACTGGCTGTTCTGTGGGACGTGGTGCTAGGAGCTCGAGCAGACGCTGCACACTGGTAGCCAAGGGCTTGCCTTATCTGCACTTATGCTTTGCTGGCAAAGGATTATGGGAAAAATTAAACTAGTTCTCAGTGTTTTAAAATAGGGAGAGTCCAGGTTTTCAAATTCTTGGGCGACAGGACGATCTAGCACCCTGGGCTCCGCGGCTGCTTGGACATAATCAGCGGGAGCACCGCTGTGTGTGCTCCAGCCATTGTGGTTCCCGTTCATTCTCTCATTACCTGCCTGGACTTAGACTCCCAGATAAGAGGCTGTCTAGGGACAGGGAGGTGCCTTGGCTGGAAACGAGTTTTCTCTTCTCTCATTACCTGCCTGGACTTAGACTCCCGGATAAGAGGCTGTCCAGGGACAGGGAGGTGCCTCGGCTGGAAACGAGTTCTCTTGCTTCTTTGAGATGAAATCAAAACTCTATGTTCCACTGTTGTGAAAATGCCCTTAGAGCAGGGATCTCCAACTTCCAGGCCACCGGTCCATCGCCTGTTAGGAAGTGGGATGCACAAGGAAGTGAGCGGTGGGCGAGCAAGCCAGCAAAGCTTCATCCATACTTATAACCGCTCCACGTCGCTCACTCCTCTGCTTGAGCCCTACCTCCTGTCAGCTCAGCCAGGACAATAGATTCTCATAGGAATGCAAACCCTAGTGTGAACCACGCTCTGAGGGCTCTAGGCTGTGCATCATAAACCATCCCCTCTCCCTAGGTTTGTGGAAAAATTGTCTTTCGCAGTTTTCCACAACCAGGCCCTGGTGCCAAAATGCTGGGGACCCTGCCTTAGAGGAGCTCAGAGCCGAGTTGGGAGAAGATAGTCAAGCTGGGATGACCCTGAGCTTTCGGGAATCTCTTATATTGAACGTGATCTGTATGTCAGAGTTCTAATTCCTGGAGCAGACGCTCTTCATTCTAGGCTGGGAAAACAATTCACAGGAGTGACAAACCTCACGGTGAAGCCAGCCCTCCAGCAGAGTCTGGGACGAGCAGGGTGAAGCGTCTTCAGGGAGATGTGGTTTTCTGTCAGTTCAGTTTTCAAGCTCATTGTGAGCATTGATTAGCTTAAATCCTGAGTCTTCATCCTCAGGCTGTTGAGTGACTCTGGGGAGGACTTAGTGTCAGAGAGCTCCAGATACTGAGGGGTATTTACGTATGTCTCCTCGAGGGGCCAGCAGGCCCTAAACTGCTCTGGGAAAACAGGTAAAAAACTCTTTCCAGGGCTTGCTAAAGGGTTTTTAAATTTTCTTTCTTTTAATTAATTAATTAATTAATTATTATTCAATTTGACCAGAGAGAAACAGAGAAAGAGAGGGAGTGAGAAAGCAAGCTGCCAGGTCCAGGACTCGAACCATAGGCAACTATGTGGGAGTTCAGCGCCTTAACCACTATGCCACCTGCCAGCCCCAGTAAAGGATTTCTTGGAAGTCTTTCTTTTTTCTTAATGAATTATTTTATTTAGCTTTACTTATTCATTTTAATTTGACCAGAGAGGGACAGAGTGAGAGAGAAAGAGAGAGGGAAAGTGAGAAAGCAAGCCACCTGGTCTGGGACTCAAACCACAGTCCGCCATGAGGGAGTCTAGTCCCCTTAACCACCATGCCACCTGCTGACCCCAAGAATAATTTATTTTTTAAATTATTTACTTTCTTTATGATTATGATTTAATTAAAAAAAAAAAACTCACCAGAGAGAGGGATAGGAAAGTGAGAAAGCAAGTTGCCAGGTCCAGGACTTGAACCATGGTCAGCCATGTGGGAGTCTAGCACCTTAAACACCATAACATGTTCCAGCCCTTGGTAAAGGTTTTTTTAGGTGTAAAGTAGTCTTTAGATGACTTATTTTAATCTTATTTTCTCTTTTTCTGTCCTTTTTGCCTGTCATCCGTTTTCTCCCACACCGAGCAGATTTGCGAGTGGAGGGTTTGTTTAGAGTGCCAGGGAACAGTGTCCGACAGCAGATCTTAAGAGATGCTCTCAATAATGGAACCGATATTGACTTGGAATCAGGGGAGTTTCATTCAAATGACGTTGCCACTTTGCTGAAGATGTTTCTGGGAGAGTTACCGGAACCCCTGCTGACACATAAACATTTCCACGCACACCTCAAAATTGCTGGTGAGTATAGGAAGGGAGGTCTTATCATTTAATAAGGTCCTTTGAAATTTTCTATTACTTGTAGCCCACCACAGCAATACTTCTGCGAACATTAGTAAACTGGGCTGTTATTGCTGGCCTTCTCTGGGTACTCAGTAGTACTGGCCAAATGCTTTCTTTGTAAGTGAGTCTCTTACTGAGATAAGGTATTGGGGCCAGCAGGTGGTGTGAAGGTTAATGTGAATGGCTCCTACATGGCTCACTCTGTGGTTTGAGTTGCAGACCCAGCAACTTGATCAGCAAGCTGTGTGTGTGTGTGTGTGTGTGTGTGTGTGCATGCCCCAAACCAAGAGGAAAATGGAGGAAAAGGGATTGTGGTGTGGCCATCCCCTCCGGGAGGGGTGGGTGCTTTCTCTCTCTTTCTCTCTCTCTTTCTCTCTCTCTGTCTCCACCACTTTGGCGAGCACACATGCCTTATACCAAAAAAAAAAAAAATATATATAAATAAATAAAAAGAAAGAATAAGGAATTGGTAATAAGATAATGGTTGGATTTTACTTATTCTTGTATAGTTGATGAATCTTCGCATGGGGTCTCCCCCTCACTGCCTTTATGAGAGAGTAGGGGAGACAGAGAAAGAGGGAGAGAAAGGGAGGGGAGAGAGAGCTAGCATCTCTGCTAGGTTAACACCTTGTCAGGACCCTTCTGCCCCAGTCCCCAGTTAGGCAGGATCACAGGTGGAGGCACCTGTGCCTGATGTGTTCAGGTTGGCTCAGGAACCGAACCTGGGTCTCCCTGTGCCTCCAGCCTCCCACGTGATGGGTATGCCACAGCGTCTGGGCCACCATGCACTTCACACATTGTCATTGACCAACAAATGTGTGCTTCCAGTTGGATCAATTCCAGTCACTCACCTCAGGTGGTTACAGGTGTGCTATGTTTGACTGGGGGGTTTCTGCTCAGTGTTTCTGTGCCTAGTTGAGCTCTGGCTCGCTGAGTCCTAGTGTACCCTTCTTGAGATCCTTGGTATATGTACTAACACCTACTAGAGGCAGTCCTCGTCCTCTGGCTCGCTGAGTCCTCGTGTTCCCTTCTTGAGATCCTTGGTATACTAACACGTACTCAGAGGCAGTCCTCATCCTCTTTTATGTGATGGTAGGGCATTTCTCTCTGCATGCATCTGTGAGAGAGCTCCATTTCAGCTCGTACTGCCCTCGTTCTGTCTGCTCGTGTGGTAGGACTTCATTCCTAAATAACAGCTGCTCTGCTGCCGTGGGCTCTACGTGCACACCACACCAGAATCCACACTCACTCACTTAGTTTTCTGCATTTCTTCTTGTTCTTCTAGTTTTAAAGATAAGCAGTGCAAAATTTGTTTCAAATAATATTTACTACTTTAAAAAAAAGAAAAACTAGTTTTGACTTTTTAAAATCTAAGATTAAGGGGCCAGCAGGTGGTGTGGTGGTTAAGGCGTTGGATGCTCCCACATGGCTGACCATAGTTCAAATCCTGGACCTGGTGGCTTACTTTCTCACCTTCTCTCTGTGTGTGTGTCTCTCTGGTCAAATTAAAAATAAATGAATGTATAAATAAAGTTAAATAAATAAATAAAATCTAAGATTAAGGGGCCAGCAGATGGTATAATGGTTAAGGTGCTGGACTCCCACATGACGGACCACAGTTCGAGTTCTGGACCCAGAGGCTTGAAAAATCATGCCAGTTCATGTGTGTGCATGCCCAACATGGGGAATGGAAAAGGGATTGAGGGGTGGCCATCCCCCCTGGAGGGTGGTTTCTACTTTTCTTCTCTCTGTCTAGTAACCACTCATGCCCTATGACAAAAACCTAAAAAACAAAAAAATCTAAGATTAAATTTTTTTAGCATTTTCAGTAACAATTCAGATAATATAAATCAGTATTACTAGTGTTACGTAACTTTGCAGTTATTTTGTGGAGAGATGAAGTTGTTAGATCTTTGTAAGAGTCTGGGCACTAATGATAAATTCTTTTTTTAATGAATTATTTTATTTAACTTTATTCATTTATTTATTTTAATTTCACCAGAGAAGGACAGAGTGTGTGTCGGGGAGCGAGAAAGCAAACTACCAGGTCCAGGACTCAAACCCCAGTCAGCCATGGGGGAGTCCAGCACCCCTAACCACCACACCACCTGCCAGTCCCACAGGTGATAAATTCTTACAGTAAGAGCTGACTTGGACGACCTTCTCATCTGCTTCCCATTGAGCACATTCATCTGGTGCGGGATGTGAAGGCCCTCCGTGCCCTGGGGTTCACTGCTCTTTGAGAACGTGCTGAGGCCATCTGGTGCGGGATGTGAAGGCCCTCCGTGTCCTGGGATTGACTACTCTTTGAGGACGTACTGAGGCGTGGTGCAGTCATAGCTTTTGATGTACCTTGCTGACAACTGGAAGGGATTTTTGTTTTCCGTTTCATATTAGCAGAGAATATTTTCTAGAAATATTACCTGCCTTTCCTAACCCTGGAATTATTATTGAGGCTTAGTGGCTTCAATAGCATACTATAATCATTTTCAAGTCCATATAGTTTATCCAAATGGTTATTTAGTGCCCTTTGAAATTCTGGTTATTCAAGGGACTGTTTTTTTTGTTTTTGTTTTTGATTTTGGAGAGATTTTTGCTATAGGGCACGTGCGCTCGCCAGACAGATAGAGAGAGACAGAGAGATAGAAAGCGAGAAATCACCCCCCAGGGGGGGATGGCCACACCACAATCCCTTCTCCACTCCTCTCAGGATCTTGGGCACGTACGTACACGCGCCCAGCGTGAGTTTAAGCCACCGGGTCCGGGACTCGAACCGCAGTCGACTACGTGGGAGTCCAGCGACATAGCCATTACGCTAACTGCTGGTCCCCAAGGGACTATTTTTATTGGTGATGTCTATTGCCTGTTAGGGGAGAAACAGTGACTCCAGGAGGATCCGCCTAGAACTGTGCTGTGGTTAGGGCACAATTTACTCATTTTTCTTTTTGCCTTTAGCTTAAAGTATCAGTGGGGGAAGTGGAGAGGGTGACGTGATCAAAGGCACCTGTGGACGTTGTGATTTGTTCTTTCAGTCTTTGGTTACAGCCATACTACTGGGTGTAAAGTGGTATCTTGTTGTGTTTTTATATTTTAATGCCAGAGGGTGTGTGCACACACCAGAGAGAGAAAGCGAGAAAGAGAAAGTAAGTGTTCCCCAGTGGAGCCCGGTTGGTCACACTGCGATCCTCTTCTTTCCCTTCCTCCAGCCCATCAGGATCTTGTGCATGTGTACACACACACCCAGCATGTTTTCCGATTTGCCAGGGCCAGGATTCAAACTGTGGTTGGCCATGTGGCATCTGCTTAGCTACTGCGCTGTGGGGCCAGCCTTCACTGTGGTTCCGATTTAAATGTTCTTGGTCACCAACGATAGGGAGCATACAAATGACCATGTGTGTATCTCCTTTGAAGGAATAGCTGGTCAAATCCTTTCCATGTTTAAAAATTGTTTTCCTTTTTTAGAGAGATTTTTGTATAAGAAGTGTGCGCTTGGCTGAGAGTCAGAGAGACAGAAAGTGAGAAATCACCCCCCGGGGGGATGGCCACACTTCAGCCTCTTCTCCTCCATTCTCCTCTTTGGGATTTTGGGCACTCATGCACATGCGCCCGGTGTGGGTCTCAAGCCACTGGGTCAAGGACTTGAACTGCAGTTGGCCATGTGGGAGTCCTACGACGTAACCATTATGCCATCTGCTAGTCCCCAAAATTGTTTTCTTTTGTTGTTGATTTGTATTGACTTTATTTTGTAGTTGTATTTTTCTATAATGTTTGAGCTTTATTTATGCTTGATTCTTCTTTTTTTTGATGGGAATTGAGGGGAGAGTGATAATAATAGCATTGTGTGGGACCAGTACTTGGCGTAATGGCTATGTCGCTGGACTCCCATGTAGTTGACCGTGGTGCAAGGCCTGACCCGGCGGCTTAAACTCACGTCAGGCGCATGTGTGTGCATGCCCAAGATCCTGAAAGAGACGAGAGGAGAAGGGATTGCGGCGTGGCCATCCCCCCGGGGAGGTGATTTCTTGCTTTCTGTCTCTCTGTCTCTGTCTTTCTGGTGAGCGAACGTGCCCCATAGCAAGAACCTCTCAAAAATAAAATAGCATTGTGTTTTTTCTTTTTCTTGCTAATATTTTCTTCCTCTCTTGTCCTAAAGATTTGATGCAGTTTGACGATAAAGGAAACAAGACCAGTACTCCGGATAAGCAGCGGCAAATTGAGGCTCTTCAGTTGCTCTTCCTCATTCTCCCTCCCCCCAATCGTAACTTGCTGAAGTTGTTGCTTGATCTCCTGTACCAGACAGCTAAGAAGCAAGACAAGAACAAGATGTCTGCCTATAACCTTGCCCTCATGTTCGCTCCCCACGTCTTGTGGCCCAAAAATGTGAGTGTTGAGTGGGAGAGTCATGATGTAGTTTTCTCGGGCTAGGGCTTGTCCTGTCCTGTGGCTGTGCCCAGGTGAGGTTGTCAGGGGTCCCAGGTCTCATCTTCAGCTGTATGAACTTGCTTTATGAGTTCATTCAAGAGTCATCAAGCCCAAAGGGCCATTTCTGTTAACCTCACCTACCCCTTCTCCTCCATGTCTCTATCCTGTCGGGATTCTGGGCCTACACACTTTATGGGCCCAGTATGTTTATCAAGCTGCTGGGTCTGGGAGGTTGGCCGTGTGGGATCCAGCTCCCTTAGCTACTAGGCCAGAGGCTTGGCCCAATATGAAGTCCTTAACAGGAAAAACTTCTTGGAAAATTAAATCAATTTCTGAGACTGAATGATATAAATTTAGGAAAGAACTGTATGCTGTTAAGGGCTAATGTCTTCAAGCTTCTAGCTCCTGCTTTGTCCTCACTTCTCTGTTCCCCGTACTCGCATTCTCTGTGGATAAAGCTGAGTATGCATCTGGTTACGGAGCCCATGGCCTTGTAGTGATGCCTGTGAGAAGCCAGCTATCTGCAGTCTCGTGCACACGTGTGTGACCTGCAGGCAGATAAGTCTGACTCCTGCCTAGTCACACAAGTTTTTGTTGTAAGACGGAGCGGGGAGCCAGCGTCCCTTGACTGGAGCTGCGAACCAGCTGTGTTACACGTGTCTTTATGCCTTCTCTGCTTAGCCGCCACCACTGTAAACAGCACACCAGAGTTTCACCCTCATCTCATAAAGTAGTTGAGAAGATAATGTTGGAACGTCATGACACCTTTTTTTTTTTGAGAGGTTTTTGCTATAGGGCGCATGTGCTCGCCTGACAGAGAGAGACATAGAGACAGAAAGCGAGAAATCACCCCCCAGAGGGGATGGTCACGCCGTAATCCCTTCTCCTCCATTCTCTTCTCGGGATCTTGGGCGCCCGGCGTGAGTTTTAAGCCACCGGGTCCGGGACGCAAACCCCAGTCGACTACGTGGGAGTCCAGCGACATAGCCATTACACTAACTGCTGGTTCTCTGTCATGACACCTTTTTGTATAGAAAAACAGAAAAATACGTCATGACTTTCCAGATGACCAAATAGAAATAGGTTGGTTATAGTGACTTATAAACGATTTTTGAGATTATAAGAAGTGAGAAAAGAAAGGTAAAGGAGAGAGATTGTGTGGAACATTTTACCCAAGAGGTAACTAGTGAAAAATGGAAGTTCTGGGCCAGGAAGAGCCTTCGGGGAGGAGAGGACACACCACCCTCATCCGTGTTAAGGAGATCAGACCTCAGTATGGAGGAGTTTTAACACCGATGGCCAAGACTCTGGGAAAGGCGCAGTGAACGTGACTGTAAGTGCCCAGAGGGCCCTGGTGGGAGCAAGCGGTAATGAAGACACATGCTGAGGATGGGGTGGGGGGTAGGGTGCTGATTTACTTACCAGAGGACAGGAGAAGCAAGAGAAGGGAGTCCATGACAATTCCACTGTGCTCTTCTTTTTAAATTATTTTTTGGAGAGGTTTTTGCTGTAGTGTGCGTGCACTTGCCTGGTGTGAGTTTAAGCCATCAGGTCTGGGACTTGAACCGTTGTCAACTACAGGGGGTCCAGCAACACAGCCATTATGCCAACTGCTGGTCCCAACAGTTCTACTGTTTTAAGAAACAGATGTCACCTTTGGTCTCAGGAGTGACAGTTCTCTTTTGTCTTTGGAGAAACCCGGTTTCTCTGAAGAGGCAATGTCCTTGATGGCTGGTCTAGATTTTGTTCTTCCTGCCCCTCTTGAATCCTAGGCTCGGTTTTCTTTAGCACCTCTGGTTATGTCTTATTTTCAGGCAGAATTATCAAGTGCAGGTTGGTTCACAGGGATTTCCTGGTCACGACAGGAATGCACGGTTGTTCTGGATTATGTCATAGTCGCTGGAAACTGGCCAGACCAAAAGCCTTGCAGAATTAAACCTTGTATCAGAAGGACCTTCGTTAGGGGGGTCAGCAGGTGGAGTGGTGTTAAGGGCGCTGGACTTCAACATGGCCGACCATGGTTCTAGTCCTGGACCTGGCAGCTTGCTTTCCCACTTTCCCTCTATCTTTCACTCTCTCTCTCTCTGGTTGAATTTTAATTAATTAATTAAAAATTATTATAAAAATAAAAGCAGCGCCTTGTTTGAGGACATGGAAGGGACAAGCGCGTTGGTGAGCACTGCTCTCCAGCCCTCACTGCCCTCTGATTTCCCTTCCTCTGACCAGGTTACTGCAAATGACCTTCAGGAGAATATCACAAAGCTGAACGACGGGATGGCCTTCATGATTAAACACTCGCAGAAGCTTTTTAAGGTCGGTAAGGGACGGCATTTGGTTGGTGACAGCACAGGGATGATGGAGCAAGGGAGAGTGCTGGAGGGCTATCAAGGGACAGGCAAGAAAGGTCCTTCTGGGGCTGTCACCCAAAAGGGACGGGAGCAAAACCCAGGACACAACCAGGCTTGGGAGGAATAGGAGCATGTGTCCACCCTCCCGGTCTTCCGTCCTTGTCATGAAAGGTAGCAGGCAGGCAGCGTGGCAGTAGAGCGCGCGGGCGGCTCCCCCCCCCCCCCCCCCCCCTGCCACTAGGATGGGAAGGTCTGAGAACCCCTTTCGTTTCTTACTCTTTGTCCCTTCCAGTCCAAACAGGCAGGGTTTTTGCCAACATAATTTTGTGGGTCGACTGTGGAATTCAGTGGGTTGGATTCCATTAGATGAAAGCCACATGTATAAATCCTTTGAAAAGAAATCCTCCTCTACCTTGGTCTCCTGCCAGGAGGGCCTCAGGTCAGTACCTTCCAGCTTCCTACAGGCCCTCTGGTTTTTTTGGGAAGGTCCGTGAGGCACACTCTGCTCTCTTAGAAGAGCCCTTTGCCTGATTGAAGACTGACCTCTTGGTGTTTCTCAGGTTTTGCAAAGGTTACGCAGTCACATCCTTGGGCTTTTCTTTAGAGTACACTTTCTTCAGAGTGAATTTCTTACTGTTAGCATCTTTTGCCATCTGGAGAGACTGAGAATTTCCAAGATCATTCCATTCTGGTTCCTTTTTGCTTATAAGATTTACCATCTTAACCATTGTTTTCTTTTAAGGTTTTTGTCACAGTGTATGTGTGTTCGCCAGAGAGACAGTGAGAAATCACCCTCTGGGAGGATGGCCATACCTTAGTCCCTTCTTCATTCTCCTGGGATTTTGGGCACATGTACACACACACACACACACACACACACACACACACACACACACACACAATATGATTTTCAAGTCCTGTACACACACACACACAAAATGTGATTTTCAAGTCCTGTCTGGGAGTCCAGTACCTTAACTACCATGCCACCTGCTGGCCCTACCGTTTTAATCATTTTGTGGGTCTATAGTTCTGTAGCATTAAGGACTCTCACATTGCTGTGTGGCCAGCCTGACTGTCCACTGCTTCTCATCCTGCAAGATTAAAACTCAATGCCCATTGAATAGTAACTCCCCTGTCCTCCCCGCTAGTCCCCGGCGAGCACTATTGTGTTGGGTTGGGAAAGTTACGACCCATTTCTGCTTTTTTAATCATTTTGTGGGTCTATAGTTCTGTAGCATTAAGGACTCTCACATTGCTGTGTGGCCAGCCTGACTGTCCACTGCTTCTCATCCTGCAAGATTAAAACTCAATGCCCATTGAATAGTAACTCCCCTGTCCTCCCCGCTAGTCCCCGGCGAGCACTATTGTGTTGGGTTGGGAAAGTTACGACCCATTTCTGCTTTGAAAAACGTAGAAAAAATATGTCATCACTTTCGTAGATACCTCTGTCTCTATGAGTCTGTCGTACTCTAAGAATAGCCTATAAGTAGAATTGATAGTATTTGTCTTTTCGTGATTGTCTAATTTCATTTAGCATGTTTTCAAGGTTCACTATGTTGTAGCAAGTGTCATAATTTCTTTCCTTCTCTTTTAACTGATAACTTTAAGAAAGTATGGTAAAATATATGTAAAATTGACCATTTTAGCCATTTCCAAACATGCAGGTCAATGGTTTTAAGTACATTCTTGTTATATAACCACCATTGGCATCCACTTCTAGAACTGCTTCAGCTTATAAAACTCTACACTAATGAAACAACGGTTCCCATTCCCCTCCCCAGCCCTGACTTTCTAGTCCACGTCCTGTGTCTGAATTAGAGCTCATTGGGCACCTCATGTGCAAGCACAGTGATGCAGGATGGTCATGTACAACCTAAAGATGTCCTAGTCAGTGACAGATGCTTATACGATGCTGGTCCCATAGAGAGCAACAGCTGTACCATACACTGAGCTGTGCAGTAGGCTGCACCTTCTTGTTTGTGTAACACACTCTGTGGTGTTTGTACGAAGATGAATCACTTAATGCATTGCTCAGAAAATTTCCCTGTGTTAGTGATGCATGACTGTGTTTTTCTTTTCATGACTGCCTTATTTATACTTAGCATAATGTCCTCAAGTTTCATACACAGTGTAGAAGGTAACAGGATTTCCTTTTTTTTTTTTTAATTGCCAGAGGGAGTGTCATTGGCCAGAGACAAAGAGGGAGAAAGATAAGGAGAAAGCACCTCCGTATGGTTGTGGCCTTGCCACAATCCCTTCTCCTATATTTCTCTATCCTATTGGGATTTTGACCATGACATTCATGCACCTGGCGTGTTTTTCCAGTTGTTGGAGGCAGGATTTGGACCACAGGGTCAGTCATGTGTGCTCAGGCTCCCTCAACCACCAGGCCATGGGACCAGCCCAGTATTCTTTCTGGTTAAGGCTGTGCAGTATTCCATTATGTGTACATACCACATTTTACTTGAACTTTCCACTCATCTGTTGATGGACACTTGGGTAGCTTCAATGTTGTCTTATGTTTTAGCTATTGAGAATAATGCTGCTACAAATATGGGCATATACAGCTATCTCTTTGAAACTTGGCTTGTAAGTCTTGTGGATATACCCAGAAGTGACAGTGTTAGATCATATGGTAATACTTCTGAAAATATTTCGAGGAACAATCATACTGTTTTCTGTAGGGTCTATACTGTTTTATGTTCCTACCAGCAATGTACAGGGCTCTAATTTCTCTACATCCTTGCCAGTACTTGTTATTTTCTGTTTTCGATAGTAGCCATCCTAATTTGGTAGGATGTAAGTTATTAATTACAGTTTTGATTTGCATTTCCCTAATAATTAGTGATGCTTAGCATCTTTTTATGTGCTTATTGGTCATTTGTACATCTGCTTTGGAGAAATGTCTATTCAAGGCCTTTGTCCATTTTTTGGAATCAATTTTTTGTTGTTGAGTTTCAGGAGTTCTCTTTACATTCTGGATAGTAATTCCTTATCAGGTATATTGGCAAATATTTTCTCTAGTTCTGTGGGTTGCCGTTTTACTCTGTTAATAGTGTCTTTTAGTTTTGTTATATTTTTAAATTTGATGTGGGGTGCATGTCCTCTCTGGAGAGAGACAGAGAGAGTGAGAGAGAAAGTAAGAAAG